TTGATGAAGTTGAGAGGGTTGTGTTTCGTTCATCTCTCTGCCGTTGGGAATAGATGCTCCAGAGTGACAAGAAGAGTAGAAGAGGGAGCTGGCTTAAAGTGGGCAATGGAGAATGAGAGGGAAAGGCCTAAGTGCTTAGATTCTACATGATCAGTTAGCTATCAGCAACTTCCCCAGAGACAGGACTCAGGAGTAAAGGTTCAAACATCAAAAACAAACTCATATGGGCCTCTACTTTAAATATAACTTATAGACTACCGATTTTAAAATATTTGTCCATTCAGACCCTAAGTTTTAAGAAGCTGAAAAAGATTTTGACTTTCTTTTACTATAGTCTTTATGGAACTGTGATTTCAATGAAAAATTTAAAATCTATTTACCCTTGAAAGGTGAGATAAAGTATAATAGTCTCTAATGAGAACTTTACCCATTTTACTATAATATTTTCCAATTGAAGTCTATCTCTACAGGGAAAAAGAAGCATTGGATTGTACCTTGGCTTTATTTATTTTTTATTGAGATATAACTGACATAACAATGTGTAACTTTAAGGTGTACAACTGTTGATACATTTATACATTGCATCATGATTACCACTGTAGAACTTGCTAACACCTCTATCACTTCACATAATTATTATGGTGAGGATATACTGTAATATTTTTTTAAAGTATTAAATGGAAAGGAAGTAGAAGTTGCTGCAAAGAACAGTACATTAAGCTGATGTAAAAAGGGGCTACAGTTATTAAACAATTGTCAGATTTTGCCAGTGGTATATTCTTTGGCCATTTGCTGAAAATTTCGAGAACATCAACTCTCCCAAGCCTGTGGGTACCCTTTAGTGCCTTCAAGCAAAGATTCATTAAAGAGATAGTTTTACTAAATGGCACCTCACTAAATTCTAGGACTTAGGATAAATAAGAATGTTTGTGAACAGGACTAATAGGATTATGTCCCCTGACAGACAAGGTGTTCTGTCTTGATCTCAGTCTTTTCCCTGTTTCTTTTCTTTTTTTTAAGTTTTAAATGAAAGTTCTATATAAAATTACTTTATTCCTGCATCTTCTCAATTGTTTCGTCCTTGTATTTGCCTTTTTTCTTTCCTATTTGGCGAGATTTGGCTTTATGTTCAAGGCTCTTTTTGCAGTCTTTGTCCAGCTTTAGTCTAGAGATAGCCACCTTGCTGGGGTGGACACCACATGAACAGTTGTACCGTTAGCTTTCTCCCATTGCACTAGTTCAATGTAGATGACATTTTTCTTCCTATATACCTGACTATTTTGCCAGTTTGCTGCCCTTTGTAATGTCCTTGCACAACCTGAACTTTATCATCCTTTCGGATGGGCATGGCTCGATCACTGTACTTCTGTCTCAGAAAAGGAGACTTTCTGTCTCCTTGGAAAGAGGAGAAAACAGATTATAACCTTCCTGTGAATGTGGAAAGAAAGGTACATTGAAATACCTTTTATGGTTCTTGCACCGGTCAGAAGTCACAAAGGGACTGAACTTCATTTTGATCACTGGTGCCTCTGCAATGGCTGTGAGAGGGGAGAACTCCCTGCTTCTTTAAATGTTAAGAGAAATGTAAAGTACAGCTTCATTAGTTACTCACCTCAGTTGGTTTAAGGACGTGGATAAGATACTGGTCACGCCTAGTGTTGTACAACATTCTTTTTGTTTCCTGTGCCTGACAATGTCTCTCCTCAGGTATTACAACCAGAAAGCAGTTTTCTTACATTGTTTTTACACTTGGCTGCCTCAAATCAGATTTGGAAATAGAAAGAGCATACCCTTTTAAGTAATAGAAAATATGTTGGAGAGCTAAATTATTTATCTATTATTTTAAACAAAAATTGTATACATTTAAAGTTTAAAACATGATTTGATAGACAGTGAAATTACTACAGTTGAGCTATTGAACACATCCATTTCCTCACAGTTTCCATTTCCACAACTTATTTTCAATCAATTCCAGCTACCTTTAAAGCTCAAGTTTTTAACTGAGCCCTCCCTCCGTAGATTAATACGCTTTCCTCAAATACTTTCATTAACAGGAACAGAAAAAACTCATCCCCAATCTACACTCTTCACATACTCATACAAAATCTTTTTTTTTCCAAATTGTAAAGAGCTTTGTAGGGTTTTTTCCAATTATAAAAAGCATTTTAAAAATAATCTGACAGTACCAAAGGTATGAAGAAATATCAGTGTAATACTTCTGCCTAAAAAAATATATTTACATATGAACATGCAGATATATATTTTTAAACTAAATGGTTCAGTTTACAGAGTCTAGTGAATTTTTATGCCACTTAATATGTCAGGGAATAGGTGTATTAATAACTCTCACCTCCTATCAAGTCAAGTCTCTTTTCTCTGCTAGATCAATGTAGTGGATTGAATGGTGTGGTCCCAGAAAAGATATGACCAAGTCCTAACCCCTCTTTTTTTACTTTATTTGGAAAAAAGGGTCTTTGCAAGTACAATTATGGATCTTGAGATGAGATCCTGAATTACCTGGGTGGGCCCTAGATCCAATGATAAGTGTCCTTATAAGACACAGAGAGAAGTTCATGTGAGATGGAGGCAGAGATTACAGGTATGTAACCACAAGCCAATGAATGCCTGGAGGAACCAGAGACTGAAGTCTCCCCTAGTGACTTCAGAGGGAGTGTGGCCCTGACGATACCTTGATTTCAGATTTCTGGCCTCCAGAACTCTGAATCAATTTTTGTCATTTTAAACCACTGATTTTGTGGTAGTTTGTTACACCAGCCCTAGGAAACCAATACAGTCAGCATTCTAGACTTTTCCTGCTATAAACCCAGCCTGCTCTCCTGTCTCATTTTTCTGTTCTCCAGCTTTATGCTTCTGTTTGCCTCCTCTGATTTCCTGTACTGCCTTCGCACATACTGTTCCACTGCATGGACTGTTCTTCATTCTTCAAATATCTCTGCAAAACCTCTACAGAGAAAAGTTCAGTCACCCTCTAGCTATGTTTGCCAAGCCACATAAGGTCCCCTCTTAGCATCATATAACTCTTCGCATAGCCCTTATCATAGTTTATATCTTTATTAGTGTGATTATTAGGTTCTGCCTCCTTACCGAATTTTAAGTTCCACAAGAATAGGAACCCTGCCCCCCATTATATTCCCAGCCTAGCCCTGTGCCTGCTGTCCATATCAATTCATTTTTGAATGAAGGGCCACTGCTACAGAAGTGTTTGCAGACCTTGGATGATCTCACAGCTTTTTAATCCACTGTGGGCTAAGTAGGGTGACCACATTATTTATCCTCCAAAATTGACCACTTCTGAGAATGAAAAGGGGGTGTTATTAACAACTATAAGTTAGTTGATTACAGTCCTGGGTAACAGGCTATGCCAACCACAGGAGCAGAAGATAACTAGAAAGTGTTGGGCCACAACATTTTGGAGAAAGGGGGGGGGGATAATTTAAATTTGCTTACTTGCCATTGTATTTTCATTGCTTTCTTCTACATCATGTATTCATTTGTTTATTCCTTTATTGTCCATCCTTCTTTGAGGGCTGGGACTTATCCTGTTTTGTTTGTTGCTATATCCCACAGCCAAAACAGTTCTTAGTATATAGTAGATGCTCAATAAACATCTGAATCAATGGTACTAACAGCTGAGTAGCATCCCCTAAAGGAATACTGTAGTCCCCCTTATTCACAGTTTTGATTTCCACAATTTCAATTGCCAACAGTCAACTGTGGCTCTAAAATATTAAATTTCCCCAGTCATCCACATTACCTGCTCCTGACAGCCAATCACATCCTCATAGCTTTATGATCAGAAATCACCAGCAGCAGACCATCCTCCTTCTGGCATATGGTTGGAATGACAAAAGCCACTGTATGCTACCTCATCTACATCACTTAATTAAGTAGGCATTTTATCATCTCACATCAGCAGAAGGATGAGTACAGTACCATAAGCTATTTTGAGAAACTAAATTCACATTAGCTCTTGCTAATCTCTTACTGTGCCTAATTTATAAATTAAACTTTATCATAGGTATAAATATATTTGGGAAAACAAATAAACAAACATCTATAAGATGTATCTCTAAGACTTGGTACTATCCTAGGTTCCAGGCATCCACTGGGGTCTTGGAAGTATCCTCCCCACAGAAGGGAGGACTTCTGTAATGAAGAGTCGTAACACTGTGGGGGAAAAAAGTCCTCATAGTTTGGAAGCCTAATAAAGCTCAAGGCTAAAGGGGCAGGAGGCAGAACAATTGCCAAGGTCCAGGGCTGAGGACGCAGGGACCATAGCCCCAGTTTCCTGGGGCTGTTCTGCAGTTGAACGCCTCCTTCCCATTTGCCCACTCCCTAGCCCGGATGCTAACACCCGGCTCACCGGACTCAGCACCTAGGACCCATCTGGCCTCTAGCCTCCTGGCACACTCTTACACCAACTGTCCTCACCCCTGACTCCTCAAGACCAGGCATCCAGCACTGCCCCCTCCCCGGAGACGCGTCCCGCCTACTCCCCAGAGGCCCTCGGACCCCGGGACACTAGGGCCACTCGGGCCGCTCCTACCCCGGCCTCCTACACCTCCCCCTTCCTAGACGCTCCCGCACTCCAGGACCCCGCAACAATCGCTTTCCCTCCCCAAGACAGAGGCCTCCAGCACCGCCCCCTCCTGCATCCCCACTGACCCCAGACTTCCGCACAGCTCCCTTCTTGGAGCCCCTCAGACCCGGACCCCGTGCCTCCCACTCTTCATCCCCAGCGGCCAGGGCCTCCAGCGCGGCTCCATCTCCAGATACCCTGGGCCTCGGGCCCCACCCCCGCGCGGTCTGCTCGGACCGGCTCGCTGTTCCACACCCCCCACCCCCCACGCCCGCCTCTGCGGCTGCGCGCTGGCGGGGCCGAGGCCGAGGGGAGGGGGTCGCGCTGGGGGCCCGCGGAGCTGCGGCGGCGGTAGTGAGAGACGGAGTGAGCCCGGCGGCGGCGGGCAGGCTCGGAGGGAACGAGGAAGCGGACATGTCTCGCTACACGAGGCCCCCCAACACCTCCCTGTTCGTCAGGAACGTCGCGGACGCCACCAGGTGAGCGGCGGCGTCCGCAGGTTGGAGCGCGGGGGAGGGGCAGGGTAACGGCCGCATCCTGGAGCCCAGCCGCTGCCCGCCAGGGCTGCCCCACGCTTCTCCGCTGGCCGGGCCGGTGCTTCCCGCCGAGGCCCCGTTCCGGGGGCCGGTGTAAGCCCTGCGGCTGCTCGGGGCCTGGGCGGGACTCGCGCCTCCGCCTCCGGGCTGGCGTTCCGCCCGGCGGCGCGCCGGAGCGCGGCTGCGCCGCCGTCGCCGGCTCTGGGTGGGTGCGGGTCCCCTCTTGGGGAACCGGTAGAGAGCTGGATGCCCCGTTCCAGGTAGCCGAAGGGCCCTGCAGCCTTTGGCTGTTTGTGTTTTCACTCGGGCGGGTGTCTGCGTTTCAGCCCCTTTGTCGCCGTGTTCCGATAAACCCCTGCCTCTTACCTCCTAGATGAAGAGGAATTGGGGTTGATGAGAACGTATTACAAAATAATGCGTATCTTGGGCCTTCCTTTCCTTCAGTCCGGTCTACTTACAGGTGGTGCTGGTTAAATTTTATTCATTACTTAGTTTTATACTATACACAAAGGATAACTTCAGTAATGAGATTTATATGGTTTTCTTTAAAGTTATGAATACAGTATAAACACCCATTATAACGGTTTGCATAGACTTCCCTGGGCGATTTTTTATGTTCTCAGTCTAACCCCCCTTGAGTTTTTTGTCCACATAATGCCTAAACATAGATCGTAAGAAAAAACTTCATACAGCACTTTTTCACTTAATAGGAGGTAGAGGGGATGACTAGGGGGCGGGAGCATTAATAGACATTTTCTTTTCACTGGGCTTTCTTCTTAATCTAGAGCCCCCCACCCCCACCAGCCTTCATAGGTATGCAGTATTATTTTACTGTACATAAGGGAAAGATAAAGACCTGAGTTCTAATGACTTACCCCCGGGCTTTACAGCTACAAATATATTGGAGTCCTTCACTCCAGAGCCATCTGTTATAATTATAATTTACTTTTGAGGAGTAAATGCTAAGTATTTTTTAAATTTGGTCCCTACCTTTATACATGTCACAATTGTACACTGTGAATTAATGTACCTTAATTAACATCTAAAAGATGCCTGTGTTTACATTTCTTCTCTAAACCTTTTTATCAATTTCTTACATAGAAAACAACCAAAATTTATAATTTGGGTAAGGTAAAAAAAAAAAAAATTCCCACAGTTAAAAGAGACCACTTGAAAACTGAATAAGCATCCTGTCTCCCCGAAGTGTGTGTGTGTACAAAAATGAGAGGTTTCCAATTCTAATGGCCACAGGGGCCAGCCAGGGCAATAAGAATGAGTGAAGTTCTCAGGCTGTAAAGCACAGTAGGATGGTATGGGCTGTAGCAAATGAAAAGGAATATGTGCTATCTAATGGGGTCAGCAGCTGCTCCTAAGCTCCAGGTGGTAACTGCTGTGTATGCATTTGGACTTGTTGCCATATCTTCCTGATTTTCAAAAAAAAGTCAGAAACTTTTATTTTGTGTGTATAAATGCTATGTTTCAAAATGTTAGCATTTATTAAGTTGAATTGTATGAAATTCGTAAATTTAAGAGCTGTAAAATATTGCATTTGAGACCTTGCCTCCTGGCAGTTGTCTTCAGTTTGGTGGAAATAAACTCTTATGAAAATTAAAAAATAAAAGGTGTAAAATGCAGTTTCAATACTTTTTTTAAAAAATGTTTAAACATTGTGCAGGCCAAATAAAGCACATGATACAGGTGACACACAACATGCAGGTGACACATGACCTCTAATCTAGATAACCCACCTCTGAGTAATCAAGACTGATAATTGAGGTTTATTGATTTCCTTTTCCATTTTTCACCATTTAACTTTGCTACTGGGGGCAATCACAATCTAAGATGACTGTATTGATGAAATAATTATTGTTAACATTTTTGAGTACTCACTATCACTATGTGCCAGGCACTGTACTAAAAACTACACATATTACAATCACATTAAATTTTTACAATTATCCTTTATGGTCTTCAATAATTCTATTTTACAGATAAGAAACACAGGCTTAGAGAGATTACATAGCTTGCCTAAGATTGCACAGCTGCTGAGTTGTAGTATGAAAGTAGAATCACACATGTAACCTATCTTAACAGCTTTTTTGTACAAAGTGGCATACAGTGTTAACTAGCAGTATACCTAGACATTAAAATTAGCTTTAACATTTAGGGTGCTTATAAAGAAAATAATTGGATTTAAATCATTGGGAAAACAAAACTAACAGGATATAAAATGATATACAGTATGATTTCAATTATATTAAAATGAAGAGAGGAAAAACTATATATAAAAAATGAGCCTGGAAGGAAATCCAATTTAAGTGGTTTTTCTCTCCTATTTTAAATTTGTTTAGTAAAAATGTTTATATAAAGTCAAATTTTATTTAAAATATTTCTTTGAAGTGACCATTTTAATATGTATGATAAAAGACAAGACATTAAGAGACGTTATGGGTTAGCATAAAGTTCGTTAGGAATGCAGTTGAGCAGAACTAAAGAAAGACTTAAAAATACATTTTACAATTTTATAATTTGTTAAGCTTCTTTTCACTAGTAAAAAACAAGAGGTGAATCATGAAGAAGATTCATTTTAATATGTATTTTTTTTACTATGTAGTTATTAAAAAAAAAATCTCAGGTACAATTTTCTAGTCCTAAATATAACATTCGCATTTTTATAAATATCATGTTATTGATATGCCATTGGGAGCAATGGTCAAGTACTTCTCTTAAACATACTTAGTTAAATTCTTTGGTTACAGTGTATATGAGGCTATATGATGTTAGCATTCATAATGATGTAAAAGCATTAAACAGAATTTAGCAAGAATGCTAAAAGTCTCAGCAAACTAGGAATAGAAGGGGACTTTCTTAACCTATGAAAAAGTTATAGCTAACATCATACTTAATGGTACAAACTGAATGTGTTCTCCCTAAGATCAGAACAGGACAAGGATTCCCACACTCACAACCTCCATTCAGCATTTTATCACAGGTCCTAACCAGTGCAACAATGCAAGAAAAGTAAAAGACATAAAAATTGTAAGAGTAAAATCTGCCCCTATTCTTAGGTAACATGTTTGTGTTCATAAAACTATAGTAATTAATAATGAGTTTTAGTAATTTATCAAGATGCAAGGTAAATTTATAAGATTCTATTTACATAAAAGCACATAATTGGAAATAAAAAAATATTTTTAAAACTCCATTTTTCTTAGTGTCGAAAAACTCTATTTTTCTCAGTGTCAGTTCTCTCCCAAATTGATTGTTATAGTTTAAAACATTCCTGATAAAAGACTTTTTAAAAAATAGACCAACAAGTTTATTTTTAAAATGTAAACGATCTAGAATAGCCAAAAGGGTCTTGAAAAAGGTTACTGAAACCGGAAGACTTATGCTACCTGACTCAAAAACTTACTAAAAAGATAGCAGTAATCAAGACAGTGTGGTACTAGCCTAAGGACAGGCAGGTAGATCAATAGAACAGAGTAGAGTCCGTAAATAATCCACACTTACAGAATCAATTAATTTTGACAAAGGCACCAAAGCAATTTAGTAGAGAAAAGAGAGTGTTTTCAACAAATGATGCCATAACAATTGGATGTCCATATAGGGAAAAAAAATTAAGTGTAATCTCTATTTTATGTCATAATTTGAGCTGGATTATCAGTTGAAATGTTAAAGATAAAACTGTAAAGTTTTTAGAAGAAAATGTAGGAGAACATTTAATGACCCGGGCATAGGCAAAAATTTCTTAAAGGACAAAGAAAGCAGTTAACATAAAAGGACTCTTGATAAATTAGATTTTACCAAAATTAAACTTTCTGTTAATTAAAACATACCATTGAGAAAGTAAATAGACAAGCTGCAAACTGAGAAAATAGTCACAAAACCTACACCGTATTTTGCCATGTATAATACGCACTTTTTTGCCCAAATTTTTGAGGGAAAAATAAGGATGCACATTTAGACATGGGTAGTACTAATGAGGTGTAAATACTGGTACATAAAATTTCTTGTACCATAATATGTTAAAAAATAAATGCTAAAATTCCTTTGTAATACAAAAAACAAGTATCTAAGTATAAATAAGTAAAAAATTGAATTAAAAAATTAAAATGAAAGATTTTTTTCCTGAAAGCTTGGGTCAAAAACGTGGGTGCACATACATGGGAATGCATATGCACAGCAGAATACAGTATCTGACAAAGGGCTTTTTCAGAAAATATGAAGAACTTTTATAACTCAGTAATAAAAGAAACATTAAAATGGGCAAAGGACTTAGACACTTCACAAAGAAAAATATATGATCGGCCAATTAGCACAAGAAAAAGTGCTCAGCATCATTTGTCATTAGGGAAATGCAAATTAAAACCATAGTAAGATTCCACTTAACACTCACTTGAACAGCTAAAATTAGAAAGACATAATTCCAAGTGCTGACAAAGATTGGCACAACTGAAACTCTTATACTTATTGGTGGAATTATACAATGGTATAACCACTTTGCAGAACTTTTTGGCAGTTTCATAAAAGTTAAACATATACATCATCTTTAACCCAGAAATTCTACTTCCAGGTATTAACACAAAATTAATGACCCGTAAGCATGAAAAGATGTTGCGCCTCTTTGGTCCTTAGGTAAATTAAAATTAAAACAACAAGGAGGTACCCATTCACTTTATATCTTTCAGAATGGTGAGGATTAAACGTTGTTAATGAGGAGGTGGAGCAGTAGAATTCTTACGCATATTTTGAGGAGTGTAAGTTGATTTGGCCTCTTTGGAGAGCACATGATGAAGCTGAAAATATGCAGAACTCTAGCAGAGCTTTAGGAAGCACCTGTATCATAATGTACACTGCACCATAGTTTGCAATTTAATAAAAAAGAAGCATCTTAAATGTTCATCCACAAAAAAACGGATGACTAAATTGTGGTTTTTCACAACAGTGTCAATATGAAGTTAAAATGAGTGAACTTAAAGCTACATGAAGAACTCTCAAGGGAAGGGAAGGCAAGGTGCAAAATAATACAAATAGTCTGAGGCCATTTACATAAAACGTGATACATTTAAAAACAATACATATGGATATATGCATTTGCAGTAAAAATATAAAGTTATGCAGAAGAATGGTGAACACCAATGATTGTTTTGAATATTAGGTTGGCCAAAAAGTCCATGTAGTTTTTCTCCATAAAATAAAAGGCACAGTTTTCATTTTCACCAGTAAATTTATTGATTTGGGTATTTTGAGTATGTCAGCTACCTCCCTCATGTTATCACATTGATTAACGTCTTGATTTAATCGTTATCAACTTCAACAGATCAACTTGACCATAGAGCATCATCCAGCGAGAAATGTGCAGCATGATACTTTGCAAACCACTTTTGACATGTTTGGTCTGTCACAGCACCTTCTCTATACACTGCATAAATCTTTTTTTGCATTTCAGTTTTGTTTTTACCTTTCTTGAAATAATAAAGCATAATATGCTGAAAATGTTGCACGTTTTTTCATCTTCAGTATTAAAATGGCTACACAAAAATTCATCAGTTTCGATAAGATTTTTTAAAAATGCATGCTGATGGGACGGCTGTCACAATAGAATCTAACAAAATTGTTTTGAATGAAGTTAGAGACAACTGAGAGCTACTACAGCTGTTTTATGGAAAAAAACCTAACGAACTTTTTGAACAACCCAATATCTCATTTCTAAAAGAAAATACTAAAAATTATGACAAATAGGCAAGTATTGAGATATAATAAATCTTCTTAGTGGATACATGGGTGTTTATTTTAAAATAGATTACAACCAATACAGAAAAACCCAAATAAAAATAAAACAGCAGCCAGTAGATGAGGTAGTGGAGACAGTGAATGCGAGCCAGCTCTTTTGAGAACTGTTCCTTCGGACTCTGTCACCCTTAGTCTCTGGGACTCCAAGCCTCTGTAAACACATTGCTCCAACCTCCTTCTTTATACCATCTAGGATCTTTCTTCTATCAGCCACTCACATTTAGTTTGTAGGATTGATTGCCTTAGATGACATTAATTTGAGTTCTAGCTTTGCTGTTGACTGTGTGTACCTCTGGGCAAAGTAACTTCACTTATTCTCTATTAAATGGTAACAAGAATGTGTCCTCAAATATATATTGAGTGCCCGCTGTGTGCCAAGCAACTATGCTAGGCACTGAGATGCTACACTGGTGAAGACAGTGTAGTATTTTGCTTTAGAAGTGATTCTCAACTCTGAGTTGTAGAATTGCCTATAAAGCTCTTAAATTTTTAGATAATAACTGGGACTTAATCATGGGAAGCACTAATGAGGTCCAGGGTTAACGCATCATCTTTTTCATAAATGATTCCCATATTCAGAAGTGGTTGAGAATCTTTACCCTGTTGCCTGTGTGTTATGGGAGCAGGAATTGTGTTTTTCTTGTTCTCCACCATACCTTAGACTTTAGAGCCTGGCCTGTAGTGCTTAATAAGTATTTGTTGAATGAATAAATGAAAGTAAAAGACATTGTCACTGTCCTGTAAAGCTAGTAGTCTCTAGTCTCAGGGAAGGCAGACAAACGTCATAGCGAGTACTGAGTGAAATAAAAATAGTAACATAAATATAATAAAGTCTGTCAGAGTATTGACTACACTGCCTAGTATATAGTGGCTACATAGTTATTGTTAGTTGAATCTTTGTGTGATAATTCCTAAATCCACAGCTCTAACTTTAATCATTGACTTCTAGTCTTGAGATGAAAATAAAACTAATTAATATAGTTTGTACAATCACAATTTTCAGTTGCTATATATAAGACTAATTGATGTTCCACTATCACTCAAATTTTGCATTTCTAAACCTGAAAGCGGCTTTTGCCTCTCTCCCCCATCTTCAATCTAACTCTCTTTTCTAGCTATCTAATTTTTGTCACTGACACCATCTTTCTTCCATTTGCCCAAGCTAGGACCTTTGCAGTCATCTTTGAGTTTTTATTTCTGTACGGTGCTTTGAAGTACTCTTACTTCTTCTGAGCCATGTTTTGTGCCCGTAGCTTGACACTGAATCTCTTAAGATCTCCATGAAGCATTACACTATGGTGGTTAAGAACACAGACTAGTGTCAAACTGGGGGAGTTTGATTCCAGCTCTGTCACTTGTTGGCTCAGTGATCTTAGGTGAGTTCATCTGTAAACAACATAGAGTTGTTGTGAGAATTAAGTGGTCTTAAGGTGAGCAGAGGCTAGCATATGAATGCACTGTGACTGTAAGCTAGCAAAGCTAAGTGTTTTGTCTCTTCAGTTAAATTGTTGCCCCACGAAAACATATGCTATGTATTTCTTTGGTATCCCCTCTTTAATACCAATCACAGTAGAAGGCCTATAAGAAGTCCAAAAGTATTTGTCAGATTTGAGAATATAGTATTTTGCTTTTTGTTTAATACTAAAACATCCATTTTTTTTAAGCCTGGGAAATGATTTTAGGAATTCTTTAAAATCTAATTCTTGTGCTTGTAAAACAAAATTAACATAAACATAAAATTATAGTGAAGGAAATGAATGTGTTCCTAACGAAATAGTCCATATTAGAACTGTTTATATTGATAGTTGAAAAATCTTGTAATAGGAATAACTCTCAAGGGTGGATGTGCTGGGTCAGTGTTTCCCCAGCCCGATTAGGCATAACAGCCACACTTGTAGCAATATAGATTTCTAGATCTGAGTCCAGACCTCTTGAACCAGAATCTCCAAAAGCAAGGTTTGAGAATTTTTTTTTCTTTTTTCTTTCATTTGTAAACTATGAGTGAATCTTCTGAGAGACAATTTTAAATAATGCTAGTCTAGATAATGGATTTCTGTGGGCATGATATTTTAATTCAGCTATTCATATTTCTTTGCCTTATTTCTAAAACAATTCAGGCCTGAGGACTTGCGTCGTGAGTTTGGTCGGTATGGCCCTATAGTAGACGTTTACATTCCACTTGACTTCTACACCCGCCGCCCAAGAGGATTTGCTTATGTTCAATATCCTTTATTTTACTTGTGCATGTGAATATACTACATACATGTGCATATTACATATATGTATTCAGGAGCGTATGTTTTATTAATATTGCCTAATTAAATGTGTTTATTTCTTTATCTCAGAAAATCTAAAGCAGTCCACAGTAGCTGGCAAGCGCCCCCCAGTTTGAACCAACCTGTTAGCTAGAATCCAAGCATAAACCAAGCAGGCAAGACAAAAGACACCTAAAGTTCAAGCATCAAGGAGTAAAGAGGGAGGGTGGACACAGATATAAAGACCTGGAAGAGGGGAAGTCTTTATCAAGCAAAAGACAAAGCCAACACCAGGTTGAGACTTCGGCTTTCCTACATTTACTCAGAGTTCCAGAGTCAAAGCCAAGTCTGATTTTGTTGGTTCTTCATCTCTTATAAAGTCCATCTTGCACGCCTTAAAGAGTAAAAGTCAAGGTTCAAGATCAAGTGACACTGAGGTAATTGCCAAAGTCTCATTTTGTATTGCATTTCTTCAGTTTTTTCTGTTTTTTATTAAAAACAAAACAAAACAGTGAATAACCTCCTGAAATAGAGCTATTCATTTATATAGCTTATTTCCATTTTAGTTAGGTTTAATATATAATTTATATAGATAAGGGAGTTTAGTGGGTTATTACAAACCAGTATATGTAATTGATGTTTACAGATTGCTTTTATGTTTCTTCTATAATTACACCCCAAGTAAAAAAAGCATGAAGGTATTTTAAGGCAGTAGATTCAAAGGTAAATACCATTTTTAAAGAACTGAATCAATTTTGAAAATATGTTTTAGCTTAGTTGTGTGTGTGCAGTTTTGTTTATAAGTAATTGCTTTGAAATGTCATAATTAAAAAGCTTTTTTATGGAAAGAGTAATTTTAATTTCAGAATACAATCTTCTGCAATCTGATTTTTTTCGGTGAAAACCTGATGAATTTTTTACGTGAAAGAAGGGAGTGAGTTCTAGTCAGTTATTTTTTTTCTCATAACATGTTTGAAATTATACATGCATACTGCATCTGCACTAATGTATACATTAAGAGTATAGTTGCATGTGTGTTTATTTTTAGATTTACTCAAATCATAATGGGCATTTGTTTTCATAATAAAAGTGAATTTTTTTCTGATTATTCATATTATATTGGAGATGTGAGCTTAGTAACTTGAACTTGTTTTTCCTATTAATTTCATGTGACATAAATAATTCTTTAAAAATAACATTTTTACTTGATATGTGATATTCAAAGTGTCCTTAACAGCTAGTCATATTTGAAGATGTTCGCGATGCTGAAGATGCTCTTTATAACCTCAATAGAAAGTGGGTATGTGGCCGTCAAATTGAAATACAGTTTGCACAAGGTGACCGCAAAAGTAAGTATGACTAAACGTTAGATCTTGTTTACTCAGCAAAATGAGTTTCAGCAGTGACAGTTCTTTTGTTTAAAATTCTTTCAGAAAATAATATTATTTTGAGTGGCTGTGACTGAAGTTTTCAGGTAGTGAATTATAAATCTTGCACTTCATATTTTAGCACCAGGCCAAATGAAATCAAAAGAACGTCACCCTTGTTCTCCAAGTGATCATAGGAGGTCAAGAAGCCCCAGCCAACGGAGAACTCGAAGTAGAAGTTCTTCATGGGGAAGAAATAGGAGGCGGTCTGATAGCCTTAAAGAGTGAGTACAAAGTATAAGAGGATTGAAAACTTAATTTTCTACTTTTCCTGGAAAACATTTTAAATGGTTTTGAAAAACAGGCCACCAGAATCATTTTGTTAAATATTCATAAAGAATCATCTTTTATAGAAAGATTAACTTGGGTTTATTAAATATCTTCTAGTGTTTTTATGTCATGACAGATTTAACCTTTTTAATGGAACGATAGTATATACTGGAAAAAAAAACCCAAAATTAAAAAGTGTGTACTTGACAAATAAAAGTGAGGAATTTTAAATAAATAAAAATTTCCTAAATGAATCCAGCAGTTAAGAATATTGAGTTCTGATGACTAAAAACTCACAGGAAGGGAAAGTGGTTGACACTAAATGTAAATCAATGCATTTATAAAAAGTAAGTTATTTTTAAGAATAAATTCCAAGTATCGTAGTATTGCAGGATGAAGACATAAAAATAGTACATTTTTCAGAAAAAGATATTTTCACGTTACCTACTTTGCTAGCCAGGAATTTGTTTCTGTTAGAATAGTAAATCATAATGGAAATTAATTACTTGGTGAAGTTATTTAATAAATTATATTAGCATATATAAGTTCTTAAACATTTGTACTGTTTGTTTTGAGTTTTAATGATGAAATTTTTTCATAGAGAACTTCATGTAGAATTTTAAGGTGAATTCTATTCTTAAAAAATGATCAGCATTTAGACTAGTATCTTTCTGAGAATAATAAAAGAGTTAGTTCTTCTGGACTCTATGTAGTACACCTAAGCTATATAGACCCACTTAGCTTCCAATCAAAGCTGGTCACCAGGGCTGCTCACTTTCACTCCAGTCCTCAACTCCAAGAGCCTAGACAAGAAAAAGCTCAAAGGAAGATATATGTATTAGAGCTGGAGTCCCTAGTTCTAAAAGGAAGACTGTGAAGTGACCTGGTACCAATCCCTCCAGCTAAGTGGAAGGAAAAAATAGGAAGAAAGAACCACATCCACATTTTGTGACTTTGAAAATCCAAGAATCCTGATAACCAGAAAATGTGGCTGGGCCTAGTCAGAGCCCTGCAAGTCAGATTCAAATTCTTACATGTCAGGTCAGCACCTCTCCTTGGGTATGAACCAGATTTGATTTTGGCCTATCTTTAGGGAAGCTTGAAGGTAGGAAGAAGCATTAAGCTTCTTTTCGAAGCTAGGAGAATCCAGGTCAGGATTGACCATTCCTGAGATTGGTGAAGAAATATTTAGAAAGTCATACTCTGGAGGTTTATATAAGAATATATATAAGAGTATAAACCTTACATCTACGGAGAATAATCCAGCTTGCCCCATGGCAAAGGGATTTTCCCGTTGATTGATATTTGAGATTGAGACTCTGATATATAGTTTCCATACTCAAATACAAAATTATATTTATAGAACTTAAAACATGGTGAGAGCAAATTAAGATTTTAAAAAATTTTACATACCTTGTGTATATAGAACCACACCAATACTATTGGCATCGCTTCTGGCTTTACAGAGGACATGAATAGTGTAAGGGAATGATGTTCAACAGTTCATTCACATTGCTATAAATGCTGTACCTCTCTATATACTATTTATATACAATATAAATATATATATAAATGTGTAGACTGTATGTGTTACTATAAACAGTATAAACTATACATGTATAGTTTACCATAAGTTTAGAATGATGTGGATGATACATAAAAATGACAGTTTTATATATCAAAGATCAAAGTAGATGTAGTATTGTGCCTAAAGCAGCACTATCTTAACATACTGAATATCCAGTGGTCTTGGTAGACAGAATTTATAAAAGGAAAAAGAAAAGAAATTGCCCATTTGATTCATTTAGAATATGTTGTTTCCAAATGCATTATACCTTAGTTAACCAGTTTTTCTTCTGGTTATATTAAAAAAGTGGATATTCACATCATTTTCTGTCTTCTGGTTCAAGTAAAGTATAATACTTGACTATAGAAAAAACAAAAAAAAAAAGTCTGTTGTTCCAAATCATCATGGAGTATCAGAAATAGAAAGAACCGCACATTTTCTTGCAAGACAATGCTGTTCTGTCTCCTACTGGTTAGAAGATCATTGCTTGACCTCACTGAACTTAGTGTTTTTTATCTGTAAATATTACCTTGCACTCAAGGTTTTCATGAGGATCAGATAGTGTGTGTGTGTGCACGCGCGCATGTGAGAAAGAATACGTATAAGCCTAACATGTACTATACATATATACTGTATATGTGGTACTACCTCGGACTAAAAAGAGGACCCTTACTTTGCCTTCAGGGGATAATGGAAAACTAGTTTGCTACTGTCAGTAGACTGAGCGTTTTGAGGAGCAAAGCTTTTTTGTCTTACTCGTGCCAGTATCCCTGGCACTTAGCAGTAGTCTTTAGCTCAAAGAACGCTGAAAAAGCATCCATTTTTTTCCATGTTAGATTTTTTTTTCCCAAGGACAGTATTTTATTTTTTTTTCTATAACTATGTAACACAGGAATGAAGTTTATTAATTTCTTTTAAAAAGTTATTTATTGATTTTTAGAGAGGGGAAGGGAAAGGGAAAAGAGAAACATTGATTTATTGTTGCACTTATTTATGCATTCATTGGTTGCTGCTTATATGTACCCTGACTGGAGATTGAACCTGCAACTTTAGCATATTGGGACAGTCCTCTAACCAACTGAGATATCTGGCCAGGGCTGAAATTTAATAATTTCTAAAAGACTGCTTTTATTCCAAGATATATTCTGGATTAATATATTTATATTTTCTGGTGCTCTTTATTCCTTCCTGTAGTTCCTTGCTTCTATCTGGGGTTATTTTCCTTCATCCTAAAAATTTTTTAGAAGTTTTTTTAATCCTCACCTGAGGATATGTTTATTGAAAGAGAAAGAGGGAGAGAGAAAGAGAGAGTAACATCAATGTGAGAGAAACATCAATTGGTTGCCTCCTCTATGCCCTCCGACTGAGGATTGAGCCTACAAACTAGGTATGCGCCCACACTGGGGATCGAACCTGCAACCTTTTGGTGTAGGGGATGACACTTTAACCAACTAAGCCATCCCGCCAGGGCTAGTATTCTTATATATACTGTAGGTCTGCTGGCAATGAATTGTTTGAGCTTTTGCTTATCTGAAACACCTTACTTTATATTTGTTTTTGAAGAATATTTTTGCTGGGGATAGAATTCTAGGTTGGCAGGGACTTTCTCCTCTTTTTTCTTTAATAATATTACTCCATTGGTTTTTTTAAAAATATTTTTTAGTACATCTTATTATGTTATTAACAGTTTTCCCATTTTTTTTTCTCCCCTTTATCCCCCTTGGCTCTATATCCCCTTCCCTCCAGCATTCCCCCTGCCCCTTAGTTCATGTCGGTGGATCATACATATAAGTCCTTTGGCCTCTCCATTTCCTATACTATTCATAATCTCCCCCTGTCTGTTTTGTACCTACCAATTATGCTTCTTATTCCCTGTACCTTTTCCATCCTTCTTCCCTCTCCCCCTCCCCACTGATAACCCTCCTGTGATCTCCATTTGTGTGATTCTGCTCCTGTTCTAGTTGTTTGCTCAGTTTATTTTTGTTCTCTTTTTAGGTTTAGTTGTTGATAGTTGTGAGTTTGTTGTCTTTTACTGTTCATTGTTTTGATCTTCTTTTTCTTAGATATTTTAACATTTCATCTAATAAGGGTTTGGTGATGATAAATTCCTTTAACCTTACCTTATCTGGGAAGGACTTTATCTCCCCTTCCGTTCTAAATGATAGCTTTGCTGGGTAGAGTAATCTTGGATGTAGGTACTTGCTTTTCATCACTTCAAATACTTTTTTCCAAGCCCTTCCTGTCTCTAAGGTTTCTTTCGAGAAATCAGCTGATAGTGTGTGGGTATTCCTTTGTGGGTAACTCTCCTTTTCTCTTGCAGCTTTTAGGATTCTCTTCTTTTCTTTAACCTTGGGTAACTTAATTATGGTTTGTCTTGGTGTGCTCCTCTTTGGGTCCGATTTCTTTGGGATGCTTGAGTTTCCTAAACTTGTATGTCTATTTCCTTTGCCAGATTGGGGAAGTTCTTCATTATTTTTTTCAACTTCTTGCTCTTCCTTTTCTCTTTCTGGCACCACTATGATTCAGATATTGGAACGTTTAAAGTTGTCCCAGATGTTCCTGAGCCTCTCCTCATTTTTCTGAATTCTTGTTTATTCTTTCTGTTCTGGTTGAATGTGTATTTCTTCCTTTTGTTGAAATCGTTGATTTGAGTCCTGGTTTCCTTCCCTTCACTGTTGGTTCCCTGTATATTTTTCTTTATTTCACTTTGTATTGCCTTCATTGCTTCCTTTATTTTGCAGCTGTACGCAATCATTTCTGTGAGCATCCTGATTACCAATGTTTTGAACTCTGCATCAGGATGGGTTGGCTCTCTCCTCATCACTTAGTTCTTTTTCTGGAGTTTTGATCTGTTCTTTTATTTGGGCTGTCTTTCTTGGTTTTGGTACACCTGTTAGGTTGTACGGGGCAGAGTCATAGGTATTTGTCAGGGCAGGGCAACCCCCTTCACTGTGCATTGTGGCATTGTATATGGGGGAAGGGTCAGAGAGGGAACAATGCTGCTTGCCTGGCTCTCATCCACTTTCAAGAGACTAGCAGTTTCTCCTGCCCCTGCAACCCCCACAGGTTTGTATAGCCAAAAGTTCTGAGGCTTTGTTTTGCCCAAACTGGAACCCTGGGTTGCTCAGTCTGTCTCGCTCCCTAGTTGTTCCTCCTGGTTTATCTGCAGGCGAATGTGGGATTGCCCAGTCAGCCAGCTGTCTCACCCACTTGGTCCAGCAGCCTCTGCCTTGCTACACATCCTCTCTGCCTCAGCTGCCCATCTCCGCCCCTCCTACCAGTCTGGATGAATGTTTGTTCTTTAACTCCTTGGTTGTCAGACTTCCATACAGTTAGATTTTCTGGCAGTTCTGGTTTTGTTTTTAAATTGGTTATTTCCTCCTCCTGGTTGTGCGAGGAGGCAAAGTGTATCTAACCTACACCTCCATCTTGCCTGTTCCATTGTTTTTTAATATCTGCCATAAGCTGGCATTGTTAATCTTGTCCCTTTGAAGATAATGTGGTTTGTTCTCTAGCAGATTTCAGATTTTTCTATTTGACCTGCTTTTCAGCAGTTTCATTGTGTAGTTTTCTTTGTACTTATTTAACCTGGGGTTTATTGAGATTTTTGAAATTGTGAGTTGATACCTTTTATTAGGTTTGGAAAATTCTAGGATATTATCTCTTAAGATATTGCTTCTGCCTTACTCAGTTTTTCCTTTTGGCCATGTGACTATGTTCCAGATATCTCTTATGCTCTCTTCTGGATTTCTTAAAATTCCTTTTCTCTTACTGTGTTTTAGTATAGCATTTTTCTAATAATCTGTTTTTCAGTTCAGTTCACTATTTATTCTGTTGTATCTAGACTGCTGTTAAATCCATTTAGTGACTTTAATTTCAGATAAATATTTTTAGTTACAAAATGTCCATTTGTTTCTTTTTATAGTTTCCAAAATTTTTGAAATTCTCCATCTTTTTAATCTGTTTTGTCTGTCTCTCTTTATTTTAAAGCATAGTAATTTTTAAAATTCCTGTCTGAATAACACTAATATCCAAATTATTTTTGGTTTAGTTGTTTTTAGTCATTTTAATCTATTTTTCACATATCTCAATTTTTGTATTAGATGTTGAACATTGTTGATGAAAAGTTATAGAAGATTTCAATGCTACCGTCCTCCAAAGAAAGTTACTTTCTTCTAGCAAGCAGAATATTGGCAGATCACATTGACCCCTCCAGGGCTTGGTTTGAGGCATTGTTAAGGCTGATCTACTGCAGCATTACAGTTTATTCTTTGGGCATGGCCCTTACCTGTAGGATACAGCCCTTCCAGATTCTTAATTGGAAGCCTGGGTTGTTACTTAAGGCTCTTGACCTTTTGGGGACTGAACTCCAGCCTGTGTCCCTAGTACTATATGTCTGATAAAATTTCAGCTGAGTTATTGAATCTTCCAGCTGCTGGTTTTTGCAGACCTCTTGGGATTCTCATCCTGTGTGTGCACAGCTTAGAAGATGGCCAGTGACTTGAGAATTTATAGGCAGATTTTAGATTTTTTTTTTTTTTTGTCTTTTTGTCTGCAGTTCTCTCATCTCTGGGATTTTGCCTCTCAAGTGTCAGCCACTTTAGAACCCTTCAATTCTAACTTCTGTCTCTTCAGGTTGTTAATGAGACATTTTCTGGTTGGGCTCAATTCCCTCATGGTGGTGGCATTAGGAAAATGGTATGAATAAAAGAGCCACAGCTTATAACCACTCAAGTTCTGCTTGTGTTGGTTATTCTGCTATGCCTTCAAACAGTTGTTTTATGAATGTTGTCTAGCTTCTTTATATAGCTATTTTCTACAGGAAGACTAGTCTAGTATAAGCTGTTTTTAACATGGCAGAATTCAGATGTCTTGCATCTAGGTTTTGGTTGTTATAAGTATTATTTGATAAACTTTACATAATTATTTTTTCTCTTTTACTTTTTTTTCTTTCAAGTTTTCATACCTCTTAGGAATTGTATAACCTAGACTAAATATGCAGGGTGTTTTCCAGGACTGATCCATGTCATAAGATATATCTAGCAAAGTAAAAATCTTTTGGTTACATATTTGGTTATATATACTAAATATAATAAATATTACAAACTCAATATTTAAACCAAAAGCATGCATAATAAAAATCAGAATTGTTCCTTTTAACTTATCCAATAAAAATATAACTAATATTATGTAAAGTATTTAATTTCCTGAAAGTATTTTTTCTAATCTATTAACCATTTTTGTGTGAAATACATACTCTAACATTGTGGCTGCTTGCAGGTCTCGACACCGGCGATTTTCTTACAGCCAGTCTAAATCTCGCTCCAAATCACTACCAAGGCGGTCTACCTCAGCAAGGCAGTCAAGAACTCCAAGAAGGAATTCTGGTTCTAGAGGACGGTCAAGGTCCAAGTCCTTAGAAAAAAGATCGAAGTCGATGGGAAAATCACAATCAAGTTCACCTCAAAAGCAGACGAGCTCAGGAACAAAATCAAGATCCCATGGAAGACATTCTGACTCAATAGCAAGATCCCCATGTAAATCTCCTAAAGGGTATACCAATTCTGAAACTAAAGCACAAACAGCAAAACACTCTCATTTTCGATCACATTCCAGATCTCGGAGCTATCGTCATAAAAACAGTTGGTGAACAACAAGAGCGTTAGGTAGTCTTTAATATAAGTTATTAAACCTGTCATTATGTTAAATAAAAATTCTGAAGGCTTACAGAAAATGTGAGTTGATATTAGTTACTTTGGGCACGTGCAAGAATAAAATCTCTCTAGCTTTGGGTTAATAAAGATTTGGTCTCAAATTTTTTTTTTTAATCCTCACCCAAGTATATGTTTATTGATTCTAGAGAGAGAGGAAAAGAGAGAGAGAAACATCAGTGTCAGAAACATTGATAGGTTGCCTCCCATACACATACCAACTGGGGATTGAACCCACAACCTAGGTATGTGCCCTGACTGGGGATTGAACCTGCAACTTTTTGGTAGATGGGATGGTGCTCTAACCAACTGAGTGACCTGGCCAGGGCCAAGACTTGGTCTCAGTTTGAGGAGCCTCACCACAAATTATGTGTCTGATGTCACTGTTTTATGGATCATTTTTTGTTTACATTGTGGCAAAAGGGTACTTTTCAAAGGAAATGGGTAAAATTGAACTAATTTAGAAAATTCTACTTGGATATTAAGTACAGTAGTTTCCCCCTTATTAATGGGGATATATTCCAATCCCTTTTTGCTTGATTCCTGATTGGCTGAAACCACAGATTGTACCAAACTCTATATATACTATGTTTTTTCCTATACATACATACCTATTACAATGATTAATTATAAATTAGGCACAGTAAGAAGTAATAATAACTAATAATAAAATAGAACACATAATATACTATAATAGTTATATGAATGTGGTCTCAAAATATTGTACTGTCCTCACCCTTCTTGTGATGATGTGAGAGGATTACAATGCCTATATGATGAGATGAAGTGAGGTACTCAGAACTGCACACAATTTAAAACTTACAAATTGTTTATTTCTAGAATTTTCCATTTAATATTTTTGTTCCATGGTTGACCATATGTCAACTGAAACTGTGGAGAGTGAAACCATGGATAAGGGGGAATACTGTATTCGTAATATTAATAACCTTTTACAAAAATTTTTTTACTTTAAAGCACTTTCATGTAAAGGGTAATTATGACTGTATAATTGTGTAAGGCAAACTGTTTGACACCTATGTCTTTTTTCTGTCTTTTGTTTAAACTTGGGCCAGTTCCTGGTGGATATTAGTTCATATTACAAAATTCTGACATTCCTAAAAGTTGAATTTATATAGAGATAAAGCATTCAAAAGATAGATTCTCTCCTGAGCTCAAAAAAAAGGTTTTATTTTTGTTAGATGGAAAAGCATAGGTAAGTTGACATTAAATTGTATCCTGAACTATGTTCATGCACTTCAGAAATAGCAAAATGTTAAAAAATACTGAATTTTGAATGGTTGGAGACTACTCTAAAAATTGTGTGCAACACTCATAGTCTAAAAATATTCATATTAAGCCTTATATATGTAAAGAGTACATTTTGTATGAAAATCATATTTTATACTATTATTTCTACATACCTACTTTTCATCTACTGCTTAATTTTTTTTTTTTAAAGCTCTAGGTGAAGACTTTAAATTGTACAGAATACATCTTATTACTTTTGAAAGTGTTTAGTACCTTGTATTAAGAAACTGAAGACTGCAGCCTCAAAAAACAATTTTACAGTATTCAGATTTACATTACACTGCCCTTCATTTTTAAACCAAATAACTTTAGTGCTATGAATTGCTTTTGTAGTTGTTAAGACTGAGAATTTCTTTAAAATGTGTTTGTAGTTTACGTTTTTCAGAGGGTTTTGGTAGTATTTGTGATAATTATGATTATTATAGGGGATATATTTATAGAGTTCTACTTGTGTACCTTGTTGAATTATATTAAAAAGTTTTCAGCCCATACAATTAATATTTGTATCTAGAGTACGTGAGGAAAAAAAAAATCTGTCTTACAGTTTTAACATCTAGGAACCAGTGTTGCTTCTATTTGTTTTGAATACAGATTTCATTTTTCTTGCATTTTAAATCCTATGTATAAGAAACAACTTTACAAAATAATTTATATACTTGTAATATTTGGGCAAGTACCATAAATTCATGTATACTGTACTTCCTGAATAGAATTTCTCTATTAATCATAGCAGAAGTTATTTAAAAACTACAACTCTGAAATGTTCAGCTGTAATAAAATTTAGTTATAAAACTATGTGGCACTATTGCAAATTTAAAAGATAAACTGAAGAAAGAACAAGACAATTATTAACAGTAAATTTTTATATTTTCTAAATAAATGTTTGGGTTTACACACACATATGCACTCATTCCAAATACTATGACTGATTAATGTGTTTACTATGCATTTAATCATTATCTCAGGAATAAGTTAATAAGACAGTGTTTCTGAACATGATTAATCATTTGACTTACCTTTGATTTGATTTTCCATTGTAATCCCTAGGCCCGGGGTGTCCAACCTGTGTGTCCAGCGTGCAGCCCAGGATGGCTGTAAATGTGGCCCAACACAAAATTGTAAATTTACTTAAAACATTATGAGGTTGTTTTGTGATTATGTGTCACAATGTGTTTAATGTGTGGCCCAAGACAACCCTCCCAGTGTGGTGCAGAGATGCCAAAAGGTTAGACATCCCTGTGTCTGGGCTATTGAGGATATTATTTGGTAGACAGAAAAACTGGAATGATAATTCAGACTTTTTTGAGCATATAACTGTGTGCTTCACATTGCTCAGTAAGTTTTGTGTTCACTCATCATCACAACAGCTTTATGAGGTAAATTCCACTGCAGATAGGGAAAGTGAGATGCAGAGAGGTTAAATGACATACACAAGGTCAGCAGCTATTGGACTTGAGCTCGGGGGCGGGCAGGGTGGCTGGGCTCCAGATTGCTTCTCCGTGACTACTATGCTGTGATTTGGAATAGAGTAGTCTTTGACAGATAACATGCTAAACTAAAGTAATGTTTAGAGGGAAAAGAGTACAATTAGGAAAAGAAATGATTATAGGCTTCAATGAAAATAGGTTCCATGATTCTGAGTGGTGGAAATTGACTGGAAATTTTACTGGTACTCAGGAAAATTGTCTTCTGCATATCTCTCTTTTAGGATTCACTTTTGTTACGTAATTATTTCTTGGACCATTTGAGGATACATAGAGCAAAACTGTTAATACAGCAAATGATTTACACATCTGTAATCATTTCCTTTAAAGCCAACGTTTACTCAGATACTTCCCTAGTATAGGTCACTACCTCCATTTGTTCATAATCATGGGGGATAAATTAATGAGAAAATAAAGATGGCCACTACAACAGCTTGTTTTCTTTATCCCCATGAATAATAAGCAATTTCTGTATAGCAGCTAACATTTTGCAGCTGCAAACAGATAATAGGGGAATATGCCAAATTTTTTATTTGGAACCTAGGATTTAATCTTGTCCCACTGGGCTAATTTATTTTTAAATGTAAATTTTTAACTAATTTCAGGACCTTAGATATTAACTTGTGTTTACTTGAGATACAGCTATTCTAAGACATATTGTATTACAAATTAAGAATTTCTGCCTTTATTTTAATCCCATTGCAAGAGGCAGAATTAGTCAAAGTTTAATGGAAGAGGTATTTAGAAGTATGTTTATAATTCTACATTAAAATTGTGATTTCTTAGTTAAAAATTAGATTTATTTTTCAAACGGCGGTAGAATATTCAGTGTCTTGTATAAATATATGCTGCTAAGGCAGCATGGCATGGAGTAGACGATTGTAACCTGTATTATGGAACCGAAGCTTAAGGTCTAGGCTCTGGATTTTCAAACAAGTCCGTGACTCCCAAGAGTTTAAAGACAAGTGCTTCAGTGAGATGTATAGGTTTTTAGAGTCAGAACGCATATAAAAATATGTAAAACATTTTCAAGTAGTTGAGGATTACGCACCTTAGCATCTAAATCACTCCCTTGATAAAAATAGGATATTTAGGATGAGAGAGATGTAGACCACCTGGAAAATTTAGGTCTTGTATACCATTTAAAGGAGGTTTACAAATTAAGTATAAGGATAATTTAGTAAAAAAAAACCTTAGAAATATAATACTCTGATAGAAGTGTCAAGATATTCCAGACTGATTCAAGTTCTCAAGTTAACAGTACTGTGATGGTAGTATTTTCCCTGAATCCTATTTTGTGTAGTTAAACAATCTTTCTTGAATTTATATTCTAGGAATATACCACAACTCTGAACTTATAAAAATAAATAATTTCTGGAGGTAGATGAATACTCAGTGGATTACCATTTTTTAAAAGTGTGGTTTTAAGTACATTTTTTAATTATGTTAACATTTGGTTAACATTCAAAACAATATTCAACCTATATCTGTTTATAAGCTACAGTATAAACGTATATAAAAGAGATTACAAATTAAAATCAGGTTCAGAATGCATTTAGAAAGCTTAAAAGGTCGGTCTCTTCAGATGAGAGAATGCCTGGACAGTTAGTCCTAGAAATGGACTGACTGCATGTTCATTACTTTTTGATCTTAATGTGTGTTGACTCATGTAGGAGTGTTCCTCAAAAAAATGTAATTGAAACACAGAAGATTACTACTTCTCTAGGTTAGGAGTATAATTCTATGAACTAAATGCCTAAGTACTAATGCTTTTTAGAAATAGCTTTAGAGAGGTAGGTTGAAGAAAACCAGAATTCTATGCCTCAACCATCTGTTTCTCTAAAGAACAAACTACATTCTAGTATTCTTACCTTACTCATAATAGGATTTACAGTGCTGTTAAATTGCTTTTAATTTCAGCAAAAATCAATATAAAATAGTCTTCCAAACCCAAGTGATAGCTTATTTCTTTTAATAGTAAGAAAGCTTTAACTGATTTTTTTTGGGGGGTGCATATTAAGAACTATTCCAATTACGTTTGTGAGGCACTCTGCTTTGTGGTAACACTACACCTTGAGAAAAAGTACTCTTAACATTTTCAAGACTGACTGAACTATGTATGTGGTCAAACATTAACATTCGTCATTGTCAGTAACCCTTAAAATTTTGACCTTAAAAAGTTAAATGTAACTTAATTAGAAATACTAATGTTCTAGTTTTATAGGATATTCATTACAACTTTCAATATAGTCTAATCCTTTTTGTGTTTTATACTGCATAAATTCCTACTCTTACCATGTGATCTACTAAATGGTTTAAAAAAAAATACATCACTTAAAAACGTGATGGATGAGAAACAGCTCTGAGCTGCCTGCCAGTAGTCAGATATAACTGATATTTTGAGAGGTGTTGGTGAGCACACTGTCCAATAATAAAATTGTAGTTTTGTATAAGTGTCTATAATGGAAAGTGGAACTATATACTTAAGGAATAATTTAAATACTTTTAGCTTCCCATTAGCTCCACTGGTATTAATTCAGCGTTAAAGGCTTTGAAGAGTAAGCACCAATCAAGTGTTAAGAATTGTACACTGCCTTGCTCTTCTACTCTCTAATCACTTCAGTGCTAACCAGCCCTTCAGCAACACCCTTCCGTCTCTTGGGAATCAGTCTCTCTCTCTCTCTCTCTCTCTCTCTCTCTCTCTCTCTCACTCTTTCCTTTCACTGCTTGGGAATCTTTCTCTCTCTCTCTCTCTCTCTCTCTCTTTCTCTCCTTTCACTGCTTGAAGTTCAAGTTATTCCACTTTAGGTAATTTAACTTCCCTCTCAAACCATGGGCATTTAGTACAAATTTCCTTTAGGATCTTTATAGCGTCCACGTACTACTTTTATCCCCCCTGCCTCCCGTAATTAAAGCTGCTTCAAGCATTAACGTTTATGTTAACATTAAATGCTGTCATATTTTCCAAATAAGCCAATGCTTAAGTATGTCATTCTTTCTCTAAAACTTCATTGCTCATTTACAATGGCTTTGGTATTTAAGTAAATGACTAGAGTTCTGTTGTTTTAGAAGTGTTAAAACTAACCTGCTTATTTCACAATGCATAAATACAAAGAAACCATTCAGGAACTTTGTAGTTTACAACCTCAAAAGATTAACCTATTTGTGCTATATGCTATGTGTAAATCTTACAGAATTATTGGCACTCGTGTATAATGTTGCAATGAACTAGTAAAGCAGTCTTAATTTCCCCCAATTCTATTGCTTTTAAAGTCTTTAGCTACAAAAATAATTTTACAGTGAACACATACACCCACTACCTCCTACCTGCAATTAACTGTAAATTATACTTTATCACACATATATACACCCATCAATTCCTTCCCCAATTATTTGAATATAACAGTAAAAATCTGAAAACTAGAATGTTCATAATGGGTATTCCAGTTAACTGAAGAACGATCAGAAAACCTTCGTTGAATATCTCATAAACAATTCTGTTTTCTTGGTTTAGAAATTCAGGATCTGGTCTCAGCATCAGATACAAGAACTAATAGACATAGATGGCTAAGGAGGCTGACTGAATGCAGTGACTAGGACCCTTGGAAAACTGATGGAAAAGGGCAATCCAAACTTTGATACCCTTTTATTTTAAAATTTGAGCCCTGGCCTGGTACCTCAGTTGGTTATAGCATCACCCTGATACGCCAAGGTTGCAGGTTCCAATGAGTATATAAGTAAGTGGCACAATTGGGTTTTCTCTAAAATGACAAAAAAAACTCCCATCTACCCCGTACCTTCAGGGAATCCTACCTAAAACTTTCAAGAAAGTTTGTTTGAAAGGTTTTTTTTTTTAATGTTTAAAATAGTGTTCTGTAAAATATACTCTCAAATTTCCTTTGGATTTAAAGTCGTTCCCTAATTACGTGATTTGTGCTGACATAATTTTTCCTGAGACATAACTTTCCCATTGTACTTGGGAGTTTTTGAAAGATTTATAGATTCAGGAGAGTAAGGAATGAAGTACAAAAAACAACTTGGAGAAGTTAGCTCAGGAATCAGATGCTCAGTAGGACGGGCCTGTGATTTTAAAATGTGTTTAGTTCAGCAATGTCTTTCAAAAAATTATAATTTATAAAATTATATAATGATGGTTTTCAAACCCAAGTATAAGAATATTTGATTCCTTCAGCCTGAAGCATCTATCAATTGCATAGAGGGCATGGGAGCTGGAGGGCCTTCCACCCTGAAGGATAATGTATTCAGCAATATGATGAGAGGGGCAACAGAAGAGACATGTACAAAAAATTATAAATGATCAGTTTTACCCGCTTTCAAATCTTGGACTAAGAGAAGGACACTTTATTCCTTCTTTTTACCAGCTGGGCCCCTGCTGTCAGAATTCAGAACCCACGTTAGAACTGTCCATTAAAAAGGCTTTTACAGGTAGGCAGAGAACCACCCACCGCATAACGGTTTCAAAGGGAATACTTACTAAATCAACAGGTAATTTACTGTAATGTTGAGTCCATAGGAGGGAGAAAAAATAAGTATACTAGTAAATATGTTAAGACTTACAAGGATAAAAATGAGAGGCTATAGGAAGACAAAATATTTCAGTTCCATTTTCATGTTCTAATTAGTGCTCCTGTGCACTATTAACAAAGCTATACCTCTAGGCCTGACCTATTTTCTGCCTACTTGCTGTTATTTCCAAGTGGGGATATCCTACACGTACCAGAAAGTTCAACATGCAAATCAAAATTACCTCCTCTGTAATTCTGACCCCCCTCCAAAAGTTCTGTAATTGCTAGTTTTAGCTTACCAGCTGCTCGTTTAATTCTACCTCCCAAACATCTCCCAAAGTCCATGCCTCTATGTTCCCTCTGATGTCCTTTAGGCTCTTTTTTAAACTACTGAAATACCCTCAAGTGCTTGTTTTGTCTCAAGCCCTTTCCAAGCTGTTTATAGAGGGTGGGGCAAAAGTAGGTTTACAGTTGTTCATATACTCAAACTGTAAACCTATTTTTGCCCCCTACCCCCGTATGTTGTTTTTGAAATAGGGATCTCATTCCCTTGCTCATAAACCTTTGATGGCTCAACCATACTTACAAAGTTGAAACCCTTCAGCATGACATTCCATACCCATCATGTTATTACCCCAGTACCTTTCAATAATTATCTTCCTTGCACTTCTCTTGAGCTTCTAGTCCACATCTTTTCACCTACTGTCTGGTCAAACTTTTTCCTCTGACAATCCTTTTCCTTTTCTTTGCATGTAAAATACTGTTGAATATTTTAAGGCCCAGCTCAAAATGATCTTGCTAAGGTGTCAGACTCCCAACTAGACAATCCTTAACAGAATTAGTCACTACCTCCCGGGAGAAAAAATGACTTCACTTTTGTTTTTACCTCTTCAGGCATTTTGTTGTGGGTAAGGGGAATATAGCCTATACTTCATATTCATTTTGCCCACCCACCTGTATTGTTAACTTTTAGCTCAGTCAAGCCCTGCATTTGTACAGCATAGTAGGTTTCTATTAAAATATTTTGATGAGGTGAATACATAGTACTATGCCTAAAAAACCTAAATGCTGGTCCTGATAAAATGTGTATTACCTGATTAATGTTCTTATCTTTTTATCAACCACCTTAAAATTTAAGTTCTTAGAAACCACCATTAGGGTTGAAAGAATGGCTCCTGTCAACCTTTTAATAGTGTAGTCTCGTTTTCCATTACCTTTTCCTTTTATCTGCCTACAAGGAAGATGCTGGTACTTAGCACCAAGATTCATGCACACAGAAGCAGCTCTTTCTATAGTGTCACTTCATCAATGGCCCAAGTTTAATATCCCTGGTATCAACGTGTACAGATCTAAAAGCAACTTCAGTATGAAATACTAAGCACATACTTATTTGCTGTGCCACTTCATGTGACAGTTTTTTTCCACTCACATACCTTCCACCTCTTTACAAGCCCCCCTAAAATTTAGGCCTGAAGCTGGTGACCACAGGCAATGTTTGCTTCATACACCCACAAAACCACACAAACATAAAGGAATACTGAAGAGAAGGTTTTACAAGACTCCAGTGGGAGAAAAATAAAAGTAACTGAATAACTGAGTTGCACTATGGTCTGAATTCACATTGAAACATAACTTCATGGTGATATTAGGAAGTGAAGCGTTTGGGAAACCATTAAGACATGAGGGCAGAACCTTTACCAATGGGATTAGTGCCCATACAAAATAAGCTCCCAAAACCACCTTCATGCTTCTGCCACACAAGGACAGTGAAGACACCATCTAGTCCTGGCCGGTGTGACTCAGTGGGTTGCACGTTGTCCTGCAAACCAAGGGTTGCCAGTTAAGATTCCTGGTTGGGGCACACTCCTGGATTGCAGGCCAGGACTCTGGCTGGGGGTGTGTGAGAGGCGACCAATGTCCTTTCCTTCCCCTCTCCAAAAGTGAATGAATGAAATTTAAAAAAAAAAGAGAGAGAGAGACACCGTCTATTAAGCAGGCTCTCACCAGACATCACAAAATTGTAATTTTTTCACTGAATTTCCCAGTCTACAGAACTATGAGAAATGTTTATAAGCTAACCAGTCTCTAGTATTGTTACAGCAGCTTAAAGGGACTAAGGCTGCTAAATAGTATTTTACTGTAACACCAAAACTACTTGTTCATACCTTTTTTCACTAGCCAGTATCTACAGTCTAATTCAACCAATTTTGTTCCCTCTTTGAACTATTAAAACCTGTTACTTTATATTTCCTGACGTTACACCTTTGAGAATTTTAGCCATTATCAGTTGACAATTCCCTTAGTAAGTCTCTTTACAAGGTTGAAAGCTTACCTCTGTTAGAAAAAAATGGTTTCTATTTTTCTTCTCTAACTGCATATTTTAAAGCTATATATATGTGTATACACACAAATATTATGTACAGCTTTCTCTACATACATGTGAGAACAAAGCATGTGATGTAGCCAGTGCCAAATAATGGCTGGCTGAGTTACACGAGTTGCATCTACAAGACAGCAAATCTACTAATTATGATCTTGCGGCAGCTATTAACACAAGTTACCACATTCCTTGTACTGCTCAAATCAATAGTGATTCTAAGTAAGGTGCCCACATCACTATCCAGCTTTGTAGAGCTAGAAAATTAAGTGTCTTCCTCTCCTACCAAGTGAACCAAGTGGCACAGGAAGGTAAGACCCAAGACTCTTCCATTTACTTTTTTTCTAGTAAGGATAGCAGCACCTTTACCTTACAGAAGCCTAGCCTATATACACCCTCTTAACACCCTTTCCTCTTTCATGTCTAAATACTGCCCATTCAAAAAAAACTTTTCTCCTATTTAAGATAAGCTTTAGCTTTTTATAACTAAAAATTACATAGGGAAAATTGTGTTTTAGAGTTTCTTTCTGGAATAGACCTTACATATATACTGAGTAAAAGAACAAAGTTTGAATTTTAAAAATACACAGGCTGCCATATTTATCTTCAAGCAAACTTTAGAATCCAAATCTCCACTTATCAATTACGCTTGGTTCAACTACCACCATTCATTATCAATGTAAACTCAGTAAACCAATTGTCATTTTTTTCACTGAAAATGTATGGTATGGTCAAGTCAAAGAGCACTTTATGAAAAAGTTCTTAAATATATTCTAAGCTATAAACTAATCAGGTTTACTTTTGACCACAACCATTTCTATTTCTAAGATGGGTAATTTCTCCCTTAAGAGGTACTGGTGTGAAATTACTGGTCCCTCTAAATTCCAGAGGGAGGATGGACAATTAGTAACAGGACAAAGACATTTTTAGCCAGTAAAATGAAAGTTAAAATCCACCTCCCTAGCCACACATTCAAACATGAAAAACAGGCACACACAAAGAGTCCAGACTAGTTTAAAAGGGGGGAGGAGGGGGCCAAATTATTATTTAAAAATTTGATTACAACCAATTTTGTTGGCATTAACATTAGAGGTATTTTAAATTTGAATAAGGATAAACCAAAAACCATAGATTGAGTTTGGTAAACATGAGAATAGGAGTTTTCCAGTAATTATAGGTAAGAAGGCAGAAATCAATTTAGAAGAAACATAGACAAACCTCATGTTTACAATGATTGTGCCACAGATTCAAAATTCAGTAGTGCATTAGTAAACTGTTCACATTTAGATCTTCACCTTGAGATTTGACAGCTGTTTCTTGAAAAATCTCTTGGTACCTTGTGCAAATAAATTGGTCTTCCACGTGCCTTAGCACACACTTAAAATTTTTCCATTGTATATATACAAAACACCTACCATTTGGGTAGGGCAAAATACACTTTCATAACAAAACTATAAGTACCTCTCAAGTATGAACAATATACACATAATACATGGTATACAGTATTTACAAAATATAAAATATAATACAAGCTGTTTGTAATTTTTTAAAACTCATCTTTTGCACTTGTAGGCTGCAACAAGGCAAATTTCCATTTCTGTACCAGTTTTCTTTCAAGAATCCGGAAATTTTGGAAAAGTTATGTTTTACATACATACTGAAATCCAAGATCTAAGTTTGAACTTTTAGGAGAGTTTTTAAGTGTACCGCCATCAATTCCCTATTTTGGTTGGAATTTTCAACAGTGCTTCCCATCCAGTGACTAGGCGGCTTTGGAAGAACACTAGGAGAAGGTGGATCACTAAATTTTGCCCCAGCATAATTTTCCTTTTGGCTCACTTCAGTTAAAAATGCTGATTTCTTCAAATGTTTTTTTTTAATGTTCTCAGTATTTTTAAAAGACTTTTTTTCCTGCTTCTGAATTATATCAGATGAAACAGAATCCTGCCAAAAGTTATTTTCATTTCTTTTTGCAGAGGTGATCTTGGTTAGTGGTAAGTTATATTTGCTTTTCTGTCTGTTTATCTTTGGTTGTTCACACAAGTGCATACCATGAACAAGTTGCCCGTGGGGAATGGTATTTTTCTCCGATTTTCCCATGTTTGATATTAAAACCTACAAAGACAAGGAACATAAAAGTGAATACAGTCTCATGATAAAAACCAGTAATTAACCTCACACTATATAGCTAATATATATCTAATATATATTTAAAAAGTTACCCTGGACTTTAGGTGATTCACTGTGTTGGTTAAAAAACACAGATGCTTGCTGTTCTTGTCATGGGATGTCCAAACATGCACATATCTAATTTGTTTACAACAAAAAATACAATCACCACTGTTACCAGGATTCAATGTATAAGCCAGTTCTAAAATGTGAAAGTAAAAAATCCAAAGTAACCCCAACTCTGTCTTTCTATAATTCTAAGGAAGAGTAATGCTAACCCCTTTCTGACAAAAGTCAGTGTTTTTACAACAGGATGTTACCAAGAAACATTTTTCTAATACTTGCATTTTGGTTGGTTGGGAGTCTGGTGAGAAATAAAAACTACTATTTACCTCTAAGACAGGTACTTTAAGAAAACTTATTTCAGAATAAATAAAAATTTTATTAGCAGGAGCTATATTTTAGGGGGAAGTTGTTTTGGTAATGGTTAGTAACTAGCTTCTAAAAACAATTTTTCAGACATTTAAATATTAAAATAAAACCTCAACTACTAAAATACTTACCACTTCTATCATCTTTTCCAGTTACAACAAATCAGGGGAAAAAAGTTTCCTGCCTGCCCCCTACTTTCTGGTCTCACAACTGCTTCAAGAACATTGCCACACATTCTAACCACTTTCTTAACTCAAGTTATCCTTACAGGAAGGCATGGACAGATGAAAAATATGAAGTAATCATCCATTAGATCATACGGCCCTTCCAACACTTGCATATGAAATGGTAAGGAAGCAGAATACAAGAATAGAAAAGGACACAAGGTAACATATTCCATGTCATAAGGAAAATTGCTAACACAGCACAGCTCCCTGGTTTTAATACTTTTCTGAGGGAGAAAGGAATCTTACTAACCAGGTATCAAGAAGTGGAAAAGTTGGCTTTTATTGTAATATTTTAGAACGACCATGGAATTTTAAAACCCGAAAGGAACCTAAGAAGATAATTTAAGGAATTTCGGCGAACAAATTTAATTTTTGCAAGGGCATAGCTTGATAAGCTGCAAAAGTCTCAGTGCAACAGCCTTTCAAAAAAAAATAGCGATAACTTAATTTCATCATTAAAGCTTTAAGTCAATACATTTTATTTTGATATAAAGGTTATTTTCATTTCAAATCATTTTAGCGATTTAATTCCAATTAAGTCTTTATCAATTTTACCCTAGTCCAAAAGCATGACAATTGGCAGCATAACGTCAGTTCAGCTGGTAACTCTTCTTTCGACAATTACAGCCTCTACTAAGAAATCCGGTAGCGTATACAGTGGGAATTGTTAAATAATTCTGTTTATCTGATAGACTAGCACACAAAATACAGCGTTTCAAAGAGGCAAGTACTCTGCCGCCACTCCTGTCAACTTTGAAAAGTTAAGTACAGCTAAGTGGGTCGGCCCCGCGCGAGACAGAGCCCCAGTTGGATCGGCGCCCTCACAGATCAGCAAAAATCAAGCCAAAAGGAATCCAGCCAGGGTAGACCACTCCCAATCCCTCACCAGGGCGGGACGAGTGTACGCGAGTCGCCGACTAGTCTAGAAGCTACCCACCATCAGGAAGCCGAAATCTAGCCCCGACCCCTTCCTCTAATACCCCCACCCGCCCTGGCCTCCTTCATGAGCGCCGAAGCGCTCCGCACGTAGCGCGCGCTGACGTCACCCCCGCGGGCCCCTTCCCTTCCTTTCCTTTCCCTTCCTTTCCCTTCCCTCCCCACCCCACCCCGCGTTCAGAAAGCTGAAACCCCCTGGAACGACGCCAACCTTCTAAATCCGGGCTGTTGCTGGGGTGCAGCCGCTCCTCTCATTGGCTGGTCCCCGGGAGCCAATCAGTAACGCCACCGCATGCCTCCCCCTCCCCCTCTTCCCCTCAGCAGGAACGGAGCAGGCGTCACGGAAACTTCCCTCCCGAGTAAACAGCCGCCCCTTATCCAGGCCCCCCTCCTTGCAGGGCCCCAAACCCCCGAGCCTGGCTGTGGCCATCTAAGGTCCAGAATGCCTCAACGGTCCCCATGACCTTTGGTGGAACTCACCCCTTTTCTAAACGAGGGTTGGCCAGACACCACAGAAGGCAGCGGATCAGGGAAAAGGATCGCTTCCTCAGTTTCGGTTGCGGTCACAGGACCCGGGGCCGAGGCGGCAGCCTGTTCCGGGACTTCCTGCGCTGCGCTCCGGCCCGTTGGGCTCCGCCCGCTCTCCAGGCTCGGCCGGTGCTGCTGGTATTGGTGGAAGCGGTTGGGCAGCTGCCCCGCCGGGCTGGCCCGCACCTTCTTCTTTCGCCGCTTCTTTGGAGCGGCCCGAGGGGTGCCCCCCGCCGGGACGAGGCTGCAGTTGGGCAGAGGTGCCGAGGCGCGAGGCTGGGGGGTCAGACACGGGCCGTCTCCCCCTAAGAAGTGAGGGAGGAACAGGGTGGGGGGCAGTGCCCGGGGATCCGGAATCCGTGGTAAAGGCGGCGGAGCCGAGGGCACCACCGGGAGGGCCCCGAAGTAACCGCGGGCGGAAAAGCCCAGGGGCGCAAGGCGGCCGCCCAGGACAAGCGGCTCCCGCTGCGGGACGGAGACGACGGTCATGGCGCTAGTAGGAAAGTGGTTCAGCAAGAACAGAAGGAGCAAGCGAAGCCAGAGATGAAAGGCGGCGCGGCTGCTGCTATGAGAACCCGAGAAGAGCGCGGACAGGGACTCGGGCGGTGGCGGCGCAGCAACAAATAGCCTCAGCTCCAGCTCCGAGTGTTGTTATCGGAAGCTCCTCCCTGCAGCCACCCACCTCCCTGCAAAAACCCAATCAGAATGCGACAGGGCATGCCACCCCCGCGGCTCCGCCCCCACCGCCTCTGAAAGACACACACAAACAACTAGCTTGCTGCAGAGGGGCACAAAGAACGCGCACTGCGCAGGCGCTGCCAACGGGCTCTTGAGGGAAGACTCGGCCCCGCGAACAATGAAGTTCCTTTTCAGCTCCACCTCCCCCTCCCTTCTTCGACGCCCCCGCACCTCGCCCTCTAGGCAGAGGTCAGACTGAATTTGGAAATGGGTTTGGGGTGCCAGGAGGGAAGGAGAAGGCATTCGGAAGCATCTAGGCCGCTGATCCTGGGGACGGTTTCTGTTTTATTCCAGGCCCAAGATAATAGCGTTATCGGTTTTATTTATTTCAAAGTACGTTATGGGGATTTCTTTTCTAGCAATCGTGAACAAAATCATTATACATTTATATTTGGTCAAGTGTAGCTCACGTCTTTTTCATTTACTCGCATGAACAACCCTGCTCGTTAGCAGTGGTAATCGGAGTAAGAATTAAGGTAATGAAATTGAGATTTTCCCCTTGATGTATAAAAAGTTCTCCATAAATCCGTAATTGGGCTTTGGAAGTGTTTCTGCCTTCATACTTCAAGGACTGTGAGACTTTGGGATCGCAAAACGGCGCCTGATAAATAGGAAGCAACGGAGAAGGCTTGAGTCTCTAAGGAGAAACTGGAAGAACTCTTCAACCTAGTGTATTTTGCCAGCAGTGTGTTGATAGAAACCTCACTCTAGTCGTGTCCTGCCACTGCACTCACACACACACACTCACACGAGAGAATTCTGGCTATTTAACGAGCACATATGGACCAGGAACTGTTCTTTACATAAATTATCTCACATGAACTCACAACAACCCTAAGAACTAGGTCCTCACTGTACAGGGCAGGAAACAGGCTTAAAGAGGCAAAAAGTGTTTGTTAAACATAAAGGAAATTAATGTTAGAATTTGAACTTCAGTCCAGGTTTGGCAAGAACACAGCTTTAGCATCCATACTGTGTGCCAAACTAGACTAGGTTTTTAGAACACAACAATAATCTTAGAGTTCTCTGCCAATTAGCTCAGTTGGTGAGAGCCTCGTCAGGGTCCAAGGTTGCGGTTTCCATTCGAGGTCTGGGCACATACAGAATCAACCAGTGAGTGTATAAATAAATGGAACAACAAATTGCTGTTTCTCTTGCTCTCAAATCAATTATGAAAATGTAAAAATCTCACGCTTCTCTCTACCCACCACAGTCTCTAACCAATATATTTTTAGCTTTGTAGTACTTCGTAAGTTTTATGGTTGGTAACTTAAGTTGGACTTTACAGGGAATATACAGAATAATGTTTGTCAATAACTTTATAGAAACTTTTAGTACTACATTCTACCATTAATGATTATGGACTTTTACCATATTTGCTGGATTTTTCTCACTTTTTATTTCCAACACTTAATACATAGTAAGTTCTATTTATTGGATGAATGGGAATCATATACTTTCAAAGTTATAAAAGATCTTGGAGAACCTTAGATTTGAATTTTGGGGGCTGTAAATTGAAGTTGAATTTAGGATCCGGTGATGAGAGTGGCCTGGCAAAAGTGGTGGAGAAGAGCAAAGATTATAAAGTCTTTGGAATGAGTTAATTTGTTCTTTCGTTTTTAAACGTTTCCATTTTTCATCTGTTCTCTCATTCTAATCCTTTAAAGGATTTCTCTAATCCTGTAAAGTAGATTGAGAAAGGTTATATTTCACATGTGATGTTTAAAAAAACCTTTAAAGTTAAAGTAACTTGCTGAAGGGTTACACAACAGTTTCTTTAGAGGAGTTTGTTTTTTAAGTAAACAATTTGCATTAAAGAGTGGGGAAAAGAGGTAAAGATCACAAATAACAAAGAATAAAAAAAGAAAAAGAGGTAAAGGCAATGTGTGAAATAACCAGTTTCCCAGCATAAACACTTCAGAACCCTCTGAATTCCTGTCCTCTCCTCTTTCTCATTTTACTTGTTCACCTTCTCTCCCTTTCTCTACCTTGAACATCATCTTTCTCTCCTTCTGCTCTGAATGTCTTTCTTCCCTACCTCACTGTGACTTTATTTTCATATACTCTACCTACTGTGGCTTAGATCTTAAATATCTAAGCCCCAAGTGACACCTGTGTGAATAAAGGAACACTTACTCTAATTTAAACTTTCCTCAATGTTCAAATTATTAATCTTTCAAATCTATGACTTAACATTTCTCTAAGCAGTAAACACAACCAGGAAATCAAAATGTTTAAACTTAAAATTTCCTTGACAGTTAAGTATTGATTACAGACTTTATTTCATCAACAAACCCTGGAAAGTTTAATTAAATTTACAAGGTTTATATTTAAAAGCAAACAAAATATGCACAAATTTTCAAAATAATGACAAAATTTACACTGACAAATTGCTTCTAGAGTATTATTACCATACGCTGAAATTAGTATCTCCCTTATCCCTATACTTGTATCTTTCTGGGGTTACAGTAATGTTACCACATGTTTATTTCTTAAATCTTTTCAGGGCACCAGCCGGCCTGTGCAGGCTGTGTTTTGCACAAGAGTTCCTGGCTGAAGGGGCCAGGGGGAACTGAAAGGCAGCTCTCACTCTGCTCTTAAGGTCATCTAATTGGGGGCTGGGCCGCCTGGAGGAAGGAAGGTCTATCTTTTTTCTTATTGATTCAAAGGTGTCAAAAGGACTAGTGGCAGCCCTGGGGTACAATAATATTAGAGATACATAATTCTATTTTACCCTAGTTATAAAACCAAAAGAAGCAGCATGTTATTGAGAACAGCTGAGGTTTCAGCCAATTGAATCAGTTGGGTCACAGGCCTAGTGTGCCTTGTGGCAGGCTCTGCTTTTATATACTGATAAAACTTTTCAAATCCTTGCCACATACAGATTGCAACCCAATACCTCTCCCAAAATGGTGTGTTTTTAATGTTTCATTTGGCCACCTTATGGAACCCAGGTTCTTATCATTATATATTGACGTAGATTGTTAACAAACTGATTGGTCTCATTAATTTGTTACAATTAATAGGGCCATTTCAAGATTTCATCTTTTATGAGGCATCCATAGAGCCTACACAATTAGCGGTAACTGTGTTCTTCCGGACGTATGACACCATCATATTGAAACACACTATTGAATTCTCTTTCTACTTGATTATTTTGGACCACAGTGTTGATTTTATGTTGGATGTCCTTTTTACCTGGTTGTTATGTCTAACAAATGACAGAGTACTTTTTTCTGTAATTAGTATAATTAATATTTTTTGTTCAAGACTGCTTGGCTAATTCCCAATTCCCTGTTTTCATTCCTCCCTGCTTTCACAATTAGAGAAAAGGCATGTCTGTGCCTTATAAATGAATATAGGCTTTAGGTTTAAAAAAATCCCAAGAAGTATAACTCTGTACTTACTAAACTTTTTAAAAAATAACATATGTATTATCACATTCACTATCTTTTATAGCCAAACTACCTATTACTAAATCGTAAGCTTTTTCCTTTGGAGAGTCATTAAGAACTTTGAGAGATTTACATAGTTTCAATTATCTATAATTATTTTCCCTTTTTGCTTAAATTGTTAGAGCTTGGCCATTGAAAGACCTTTGATGATGGTATTACGATCTCTTCAGCATTTCTCCCAAACATTTTTGAAAATGTTTTTTGCATTAAAATGTTTTTATTTTTTAAATTGATTTGAGAGAGAGAAACATCTCTTTGTTCATTCGTTGGTTGATTCTTGTATGTGCTCTGACCTGGAATTGAACCTGCAACCTTGGTGTATTGGGACAATTCTCTAACCAAATGAGCTACCTGGCCAGGAAAAAATATTCTTGCTTTGTATAAACAACAGGATGTTCCAGATTATCTTCATCTTTCTCTGACCCAAAACATGAAATGAGCAATTTTATAAGAAACCCTCGTTTCTCTAAATGAAGAAAAATATTAGTGGCAAAATCTGGGCATCAGAGATGAATATCAGAACACCACATGAGCACCTCTCTACCAATCCATCTTCAGCTGACTGAATGTTGTATAATAGTCCTTTTCCAAAGAAGAGATAGAAAATTCTGGTTTCACCATAGATTTTCAACTCATTTCATTTCTGGAATGAACTTATAAACTCCAGGCCCGTTTTGTATATAACTTTTATTTATTTATTTGCTTTTTAAAAAATAATTTTGTTTACCAATGTCACCCCAATAAATTTAATTTAAAAATTTAAAAAATTTGTTTCATATTTAAAGCCCTTGTATTAGTCAATGATTCATGTTCAGCATTATTTGAACCATTTGGCATTCACTACACAAAGAAAAATGCTTATTTGTGTTTGAAATAAAACAGGTATAGAGGACGTTTCTTTTTAGAGTCATGGGTCTACATTGATTTTTTAAAAATTACAATTTAATTCTAACACTATGAAGTCATTTAACACATTTATTCCATTGTTAAAAAACAATTTTTTTTCCCAAAAGAATCTTAAATTTTTAACCCCTCACCCAAACGTCAGTTGTACCCTCATGTATAGTCCTTTTATGTCTAACCAGTTGTCATTTTTGTAATCATGTCATTAACCTCGACAATCTAATTCCTTCTACTTTGTTTCTCATGTCTTTCTCTCCTTTTTATCTTTTTATTTTTCCTACTGTTATCATCATCCTTATTTCATCTCCTCTTCCTTAAATATTCAAAGAATAGAATTGAAACATAATTCCTGTTCCACAGTGTTTTGTGGAGAGTTATTATCTTTCTCATGATTTAATGTCCTTGTAAAACTTGGGACATTGAGGCCCATCTCTACTTATAACAACTCTTGATTAAGTCATCAAAAACTTAATGTCTTGTGTGTGTGTGTGAGGCATAATACACTCTGTAAAATATTGGGCCATTTTTATTGACTTACTGACATTACTTAAGTAAATAG